TTGGAGGAGAAGGACATCTGGGGAGAGGGTTTGGGTATGGGATTTAATCCCCCACCATGCCATAGTGGTTGAAATTGGAGGAGAAGGACATCCTAAAGGAGACAACAGGAGCACAGTCAGCAGGGGAGAGGGTTTGGGTATGGGATTTAACCCCCCAAAGTTGTGTTAATAAGTCTAAAGTATCATCAGCGTGATTAAAGTCACTCTCTGTTCCCACAAAGGAAATTTTGGATTGCTCAGCCCTTTCCAGAGCCCCTGGTGCCACCAATCCCTTACCTGGATGGTGTCCCAAGGGACAGGAACACTCAAATTAGCAAATAATCCCTTAAAACACACATTTCTTGWGATGACAGGAGAATTCTGGCTATGAAAGCTGAAATTATTTTTCCTCCTGTCTGTTTTTTTTGCTTTACGACACAAACAGTAGCAATTCTAAGATTTGACACTTGAAAGATTTCAGTACATTATTATAAATTAGGCTGAAGCACATCAWGCTGTATTATCTTATTGATTCTGTAATTTTTTTTCTGTAATTTGCACTCCTCAAATGCAGTGTGGTACAGTGACCTCTCCAAAATTCCTCACTGAGTTTTACACTCCTATTCCCACYCTTTCTGTCCAAGAAACAATTGGATGTGGCACTCAGTGCTCTGGTCTGGGTGACAAGGTGGGATCAGTCACAGGTGGGTGAATTGAATGATCTTGGATGTTTTTCCAACTTCAGTGATTTCTGATTTTTGGTTTTTTAAACATCCCCAATGTCATGGTCAAGACTAGCAAAGGAAACTTCTCACACAGTGAGGAAAAAGCACAATTAGATGGGACTTTTTTTTTTCTGGTGAGCACAGCTGGGGTTTGCCTTCTCTGCAGTAATCATCACTAATTCCTGAGCTGTGCTACAAACCCCTCCTCATTCAGATTTCCTTCCAGAGCTCCCTGCAATGTGGTGAACCCTCTGAAGAGACCCAGGAGCTGGCTGAGCACCCCTGACACAGCCACCTCCCAAATTTGCTGAGRTTTCCTCCTTTCCCCACACCAAACCCACTGTGACATGGCCATGAGTACAGTGTTAACAAGTCTAAAGTATCATCAGTGTGATTAATAGCTCTCCATGCTTAAARTCACTCTCTGTTTCCACAATTTATCTCTGATTAAGAGCCGTGAGACTTCCAAGCCCATTTTTGCTATTTTTTCCCTAAATAGGCTTGTAAGCAGTAATAAATAACAGGTATTCACATTTTGAAAGAGAGGAATTTTTCAGGACATGCCTTGGTGTACATTTCTTACAACCAATACAAAAACTATCACAGAACAGGAACCAAACAAAAAGACAGCAGACATTTTTCAGGTATTATTTGAAACAAGAAATACTTTTCARCTGAGACACAGGAGGGAAAATTAGCGTCCAAACCACAACAAAACATGCTGTCAGCTGTTTTGAGATGTAGATTCATCTATGGTGTGAAGGAGGTGAAAAAGCCTCGACAAATTCTAAGCTATGGACAGGAAACCAGGGGAGGGACTGCTTGGGGTCACTGTGACCCCCTGCCAGAGGGGGAATTCAGTGCYAAAAAATACCCTAAAACATCCCTTGGTTGTGTACCATACTGCAAATGAGCCAGTCACCCAGCAAATTTAATTTCAAAGATTGTCGCATGCAAAGATGATTTTTTTTTTATTTTAAAGAAAAGCTGAAAACATGTTTTAGACAAAGGGAGAGGAAAAGGGAAGGGGGAAAAAAATGAGAGTTAATAGGGTTGAGAGTTTCCCAAGTAAAGAGAAGGGCACTACAACAGAACAGGTTAAAACATTCAGGATTAGGCTATTTCTGTCTAGTGTGGCTTTGGAAATGGCAGAAGATGATGGTACCATACCTGTTGAGCGTGGGGATGTTCCCTCTGCAATCAAACAACCACAGTTAGTCACAGACTGGTTAGTGAAAGCCATCATCAAGAACCATCATCACCAAACTGGACACAAAACTCCCCAGTTTGTCAGGAGAGTTCCCTGCTGAGGCTCTGAGAGTGCAGAGCCAGGCAGAGAGGGTGCAAATCATGAAATAAATACCCCTGGTATTTGTGAGGGATCCCACATTCCTGCTCTCCTTTGGTTGTCCCCACTCCAAACCCTTTGTATGCACCGAGAGCCCAGAGAGGAACCTGCACTGCCCAACAGAACAGGAAACAGCAGAGATGGAAACAAAAAAAATGCCCATCAGAACAGGAAACAGCAGAGATGGAAACAAAAAAAATGCCCATCAGAACAGCAAACAGCAGAGATGGAAACAAAAAAAATGCCCATCAGAACAGGAAACAGCAGAGATGGAAACAAAAAAAATGCCCATCGATGGAAACAAAAAAATGCCCATCAGAACAGGAAACAGCAGAGATGGAAACAAAAAAAAATGCCCATCAGAACAGGAAACAGCAGAGATGCAAACAAAAAAAATGCCCATCGATGGAAACAAAAAATGCCCATCAGAACAGGAAACAGCAGAGATGCAAACAAAAAAAATGCCCATCGATGGAAACAAAAAAATGCCCATCAGAACAGSAAASAGCAGAGATGGAAACAAAAAAAATGCCCCATCTCACACAGGAAAACTGCAACAGGTTCAGGAAAAGCAGCCAGATCCTCAGTGCCAACCCTCCAGCCCACGCACAGGCTCCCACAAAGCAGGGACAAAGCAAACACAGCACGKGGAACTAAAAACATCCTGCACTAAAAACAACAACCTGAAGGCTGAAAAGAATGAACTTAAGGTAAATTTTGGGAAAAGCTTCCCAATTCTTTCACAATTCAGTGAAACTCCCCATATTTGCAGGCAGAGGAGTGAGGGTCACATTCTCACAGCAGCAGAGCCCAACCAAAGCAGCCACAGCCAGGACAGTGCTCCATGCAAAATGGAAAAAAATGCTGCCATCTGACATGCAAAATAGCAAAGATTAAATGAAAAAAAAAAATCCTTGCACATAGGAGGCTTGTGCAAAGGGATTAGCAAGAACTAAAAGATGGAAAGGAGAGCTTTGAGGAACATGTGAGTGGACATTCAGGAGGTCAAAGCAGAGTTTTCTGGACCCCAGGTTAATGATGCTTAGTGCATTCCACAGTCACACTGTTCACAGCCTGCCTGCCCTGCTCCTGCCCCAGCACACACTGCATTATGGCACTAAAAACTCCCACAATCTCCTTATTCCATACAGGAAAAAAAAATAAAAATTACCCCAAAACGTATCTGTTATGGTAAATAACAAAAGTATTTCATTTTTCTATGGTGGGGAGACACCTGCAGCCAGCACTGAACACGCCTTCCAGCCTCAGGGGGGTCAGGACTATTTTTTGAGCTTGGCAAAGAGTGGGGAAGCTGCATGTGATCTACTTCAGTTGGAAAAAATAGTCTGGAGAGGACTGGCAGTTCCTACCCCCAGCAGGAGCACTCCTGTAGCCGTCCCTGGAAGGCTTTCAGAAAACAGAGGGAGAAAAAAAACAAAAAAACAAAAAAAAATGTGTAACAAATGCTCATTTCAGCCTCCAAAAGGGCATCCTGGAGCTGTGTGCTCTGGGAATTGTCTCTGCCACTCCACATGGAGCTGGAGGGGCTCAGGCAGCAATGGCAAGGGGGAAACAGAGGGAGGAGTGGGCTGAAATGGARAGAGAGCAGAATCAAATGGGATATTGGGATGGGATTGTTCCCTGGGAGGTGGGGAGGCCCTGGCACAGAGAAGCTGTGGCTGTTCCATCCCTGGCAGTGCCCAAGGCTGGGCAGGGCTGGGAGCAGCCTGGGACAGTGGGAGGTGTCCCTGMCATGGCAGGGGTGGCACTGGGTGGCCTTTGAGGTCTTTCCAACCCAAGCCATGCCCTGGTTCCATGCCAGGGCCAGCCTGGCAATGTCAGAGCCTCCAGGGTGGCACAGGCCCAGCGATGGGGCAGGGCTGGCTCTGCTGCCACAGCCTCCCACCCCWCTCTCCACAGCACCCCAGTGCCCCTCCTGAGCCCTCCTCAATCCCAGGACAGCCCTTCCTCTCCAGAACCCGATCTCAGCAGGGATCTGTCCCTGCCCGGTGCCAGCCCTGCTGTCCCCACATCCTGGTGAGCCTGCACTCAGCTCCYCTCACCCCCTGCTCCTTCCCTTCCCCTTTCCAGGGTCACACAGGAGCTGTTCCCAGGACAGGCAAAGCTCCAGCTGGGCAGAGCTTTGGGAGCAGGAGAGGTAGAGCAGAATGGGCAGAGAAGGAGGGGCAGAGCTGGAGGGACAGAGAAGGATGAGCAGAGCAGGATGGGCAGAGCTTTGGGAGCAGGAGAGGCAGAGCAGAATGGACAGAGCAGGATGGACAGAGAAGGACGGGCAGAGCAGGAGGGACAGAGCAGGAGGGACAGAGCAGGAGGGGCAGAGCTTTGAGAGCAGGATGGACAGGGCAGGATGGGCAGAGAAGAATGGACAGAGAAGGACGGGCAGAGCTGGGTGGGCAGAACAGGACGGGCAGAGCTTTGGGAGCAGGACAGGCAGAGCAGGATGGGCAGAGCAGAGTGGGCAGAGCTGGAGGGGCAGAGGAGGAGGGACAGAGCTTTGGGAGCAGGAGAGGTAGAGCAGAATGGGCAGAGAAGGAGGGGCAGAGCTGGAGGGACAGAGAAGGATGAGCAGAGCAGGATGGGCAGAGCTTTGGGAGCAGGAGAGGCAGAGCAGAATGGACAGAGCAGGATGGACAGAGAAGGACGGGCAGAGCAGGAGGGGCAGAGCAGGAGGGACAGATCAGAATGGGCAGAGCAGGGTGGACTGAGCAGGGTGGACAGAGCAGGATGGACAGAGCAGGAGGGGCAGAGCAGGGTGGGCAGAGAAGGAGGGACAGAGAAGGACGGGCAGAGATTTGGGAGCAGGATGGACAATGCAGGATGGACAGAGTTTTGGGAGCAGGATGGACAGAGTTTTGGGAGCAGGATGGACACAGAAGGATGGGCAGAGCAGGATGGGCAGAGCAGGATGGGCAGAGCAGGATGGACAGAGCTTTGGGAGCAGGATGGACAGTGAAGCACGGACAGAGCAGGGTCCATCCCCACTCACACACTCACAGCAGTGCCCAGCACTCAGAGCCCTTCCACTGCCTCTGCCCRCTCCACTCCTCCCCTGCTCCTTCATTTCTGCAGCACAATCTAACCAGGAGCCTGTGAAACATGCCTCAAACCATACATTTTGATTGGGTTTTTCCTCTCCCTCTTTCCTCCCCTCATTCTTCCGCTCCCCCTGTGATTCAACCAAGCTGAATCTGCTACAGAASTCCAATTTGCATAAAATTATCGCCGTTCCATTCAGTTTGCTGCCCCTTCCACAGCCCCCTTCTTTGCTCTGCTGGAAGATTTTGCCCTTTCCGAGGCAGGCAAGCCAAGGGAACTGCAGCACATTACTGCTGCCTGCTGCCTAATTAACACCAAACCCCAGCACGGGGCTGTGGGATTTACAGGTGTCCTGGAATTCTCTTCCCATCCTCCTTCCCTACACAAATCATTCTCACAGCAAAGAGGGGTCCCCAAACTAACTGCCCACCCCATGAGTTACCCCTTTGGGGCAGCAGGGCTGGGTCACTCCTGGCATCCAAAGACTGATGCAAGAGGCTGATCCAGCAAYTTGGAATTTTTAGCAATTTTTAGTGCACAAAAAAAATGTTCCTCCTTTGTCAGAAATTCAGATTTTGCGAGTAAATTATTGCAAAATGAGAGCAAGAAGAAATCTGTACACGCTGCTGCTAATGGTGAGTCTGGGGTTCTTAAAAAAGCACTGTTTGGGAACGTTTTTTAATCCAAATGGTTTCTGCCTCTAAGCTAAGGAAGAGGCTGACAAAAATAACAACCAAAATCCCCCACAGATGATAAAACATCAGGAGACAGCAAAGGAGGGATCATGCACCACTCTTAAACCTTGAAATCAGTGACATCCAAGTCCAAGGAGGGCGTGAACAAACATCCACAGGCACAGAGGGAGGAGAGTCCAGCAAAACAAGAGAGTTGAGACATTTACAGTGATGGCAACACCCTTGGGTGGGGCTCTGAGCATCCTGGGGTGATGGAGGGTGGCCCTGTCCCTGGCAGGGGGTGGCACAAGGTGAGCTCTAAGGTCCCTTCCAACCATTTTCATGATGATGAAATACAGAGCAAGGCTTGAATTGCACCATGGACAGCAGGAGGCAGCCCCAAGAGTGAATTCTACTCAGAAAAGACATTTCTCCCCACAGCAACGTGTGCTGAGTGCATTCCCAGCTCCAGAGGTGCCAGGGAGTGCTGGTGTCACACATCTGGATGGTGCTGTCCCCAAATCCAAGCAGGCTCATGATCCAAAAACCTTCCTGACCCCTTCCTCCAGTGGCACATCCTAATCCAAGATCCCTCAGGACACCTCAAGGTCCAGGGTTGTGTTCCAGCTTCCCTTGGGCTCTCCCTGCCCAAAGGAAGGATGGATCCAGCAYCTCTGCATCCCTGAAAAATCAGGGATCTGCTCTGTAGGAACACATTTACCCCCCAGCTGTTCCCCCTGATCCTACAGCACCTCTGTCCTGCTGAAAGGAGCAGCTGAGCCCTGGCTGCAGCAGACAATGTCCCACTTTAATTTAAACCTTACACAAGAAAGGCTGCCAGGAAGCAGGAGAGGGGATTAGAAAGAAACACTTTTGTTGAAAAAGCACTGTAATTCCCTCTCCTCCACACACAATGTTTCTTTGAGCAGGAGATTTTAAGCTGAGATTAGGCAGGGGCTGTTCCATGAACGCCTCAGACCCTGTCAGGGTCTGTCAGCGGGGCTGCCAGGCTCACAAAGGAGTTCACAAAATCACAGCCACTGCCCATTTGGGATGGGGCAGGCCAGGGGCAGCTCCCAGCAGGGCTCCTGTGTCCCTCCCATCCCCTGCCCAGGCTCTGGCTGCTGCACCAGGCTGGCTGAGCCCAGGCCAGGGCTCTGGCACCCCAGAGATCCCCCTGGCTCCAGACTGGATTCCTGCACCCCATAGATCACCCTAGCTCCATTCCTGAACCCCACAGATCCCCCTGGCTCCATTCCTGCACCCCATAGATCACCCTGGCTCCATTCCTGCACCCCATAGATCCTCTGGCTCCAGACTGGATTCCTGCACCCCATAGATCCCCTGGCTCCATTCCTGCACCCCACAGATCCTCTGGCTCCAGACTGAATTCCTGCACCCTATAGATCCCCTGGCTCCAGAATGGATTCCTGCACCCCATGGATTCCTGTACCCCATGGATTCCTGCACCCCATAGATCCCCGCACAGATCCCCCTGGCTCCATTCCTGCACCCCATGGATCCCCTGGCTCCAGATTGGATTCCTGCACCCCATGGATTCCTGCACCCCACAGATCCCCTTGCTCCAGACTGGATTCCTGCACCCCATGGATTCCTGCACCCCACAGATGCCCTGGCTCCATTCCTGCACCCCATAGATCCTCTGGCTCCAGACTGAATTCCTGCACCCTATAGATCCCCTGGCTCCAGAATGGATTCCTGTACCCCATGGATTCCTGCACCCCATAGATCCCCCCATAGATCCCCATGGCTCCATTCCTGCACCCCATGGATCCCCTTGCTCCAGACTGGATTCCTGCACCCCATGGATTCCTGCACCCCACAGATCCCCCCAGACATCCCCATGGCTCCATTCCTGCACCCCAAAGATCCCCCTGGCTCCAGACTGAATTCCTGCACCCCATGGATTCCTGCACCCATGGATCCCTTGGCTCCATTCCTGCACCCCACAGATCCCCCTGGCTCCAGACCAGATTCCTGCACCCCATGGATTCCTGCACCCCAT